AATTGAAAAGCAGCCCATTCTCATTTGGCAACTTGGAACTCTGAGCTAAAATGACAAATCAAAGGTCAAGGGCACCAGTTGCCAAACACTGTTTCTGCAAGCAAAAGACCAAACAGCCCTCCTGAGGTAGGTAATTCTGGAATCCATGGTTGTAGGTCCCAGGAAAACCTTCATCAGAAGCTTATCTTAGGGCTGGGGTTGTGGCTCAGGGCCCTAGGTTCAATCCTAAGCACCACATAAAAAATAAATAAAATTAAATAAATTAATTAATTAAATAAAGGTACTAAAAAAATAAATAAAGGTATTGTGTCCAACTACAACTAAAACAAAACAAAAAAAGAAGTTTGTCTTAAATCACGCACTTTTGGCTATTAGCACCATTGGGAAGACACCTGATTTATGCTTTTATGTCTAAGCATGGAATGACAGAATAAGCCCAGAAATTAGAAGCAAAACAAAAAATCTCTACTTATCTTGAAGTATTTCACAAAGGTATTCGAAGATTCACTTACATTTTAAGAAGATAAATAAAGGCTGATATTCTGGTAAAATGCTACTTGAACCCAATTGTTATTTTTTCCCAATTATTAATTTAAACATGAGCTGTATATTCTGAAAAACTACAATAGGAAATTTTTAGTCTGTCCTTATCACTACAGTTCCATAATCTCATATCCCTAATTGGGATTTCCCTCATTTATCAAATTTGTCAGTTATAATTTGTTTAAATGTCAGGTCTATGTGAACTCCACAGCTGAAGACAGCCAAAACAGATTTTTAAAATATCACTTACTACTTAATATTATTTGATCTGAATGTGTGACTACAAAGTCATCTTGTGTCAGACACCCTTTCCCTAGCGAGGCATGTTGTGAGTAGGACTCTCACCTGCAGGCCAGGCTTGCTCACACACACACATTCAGAAGGTCTCCTGCAATAGGTATGATGCTTCAAAATCAAGTGATAATAGAAATATTCAAGGGAAAAAACATTCTCTACTTACAAGTTACCCTGAGGAATTTGTACAGAAGACTGTGTACTTCAGGAGAATTACTGAACTATACACACTCGAAGCCTCATTCATAAATTGCCCTTTCAGGACTTGCAGGACTTACGACCTGCTATATTTTCTGTGGTCCAAGAATCCATCCCAAAATCAGATTAACAGTTGTTTATTAGTTCCAAGTGTCTTTGCTCTTCATTGTCAATAAACATGGATAGAACCAAAGTGTACAAGAAACCTTGTTAAACACTGGGATACACAGAAGCATGGCAAGGTGCTTATCTCAGATGTGTAAACAATGTTCTTGGGAGACAGGCTGACAAGGTTTCTACATTCAAGTTCTATGCCCTAGTAAAGACACTGTGTACCCAACAGGGTTCAGAAAAAGAAGAAATCACAGGGTGTGAAGTCTAGAAAGGCTTTTTAGAAGAGACTCAGACCTAAAGGAGTAACAGAGAAGATGGTATTCTAGACAGAGGGAAAAAATTAAGGCTGTGACTTTCTCCCTACTGAACTCAATTAATAAAGGCATTCTCCTCCTAAACAACATGAGAGGAATAAACCAAATCTCAAGGCCATTTTGGGTCCTATGGGGAGAAAAATGATTACAATGGTACAAAACCTGATGGCCTCTAGAAGTAATTATTAGATATAAGGTGGAGGGTATAGGATGATGTTAGAAATTTGTTTAGAAAAATGTTTTATTCCTCCTGACAACCCTCAACAACAGGGAAATTATCCAAATGTTAGATATAGCTGAATCAGAATTTCTCTGAAAAGTAGAATTTCACAGACTAGAGATTCTCAATCCAAAAACTTAACATGGATCTAGGAATTTTAACTCTTTTAGGTATGGTTTTCAAACATTAAGTAAGTCCTGCTGTACCTGTTTTTTTTCCATAAAAAAAAAAGAACTAGCCCTCATTGAGCTTCCCAAAGGCTTCATCCAAAAGTTTCAGGACAAATATTCTGGACTATTTGGTAGAAGGAAAGTTTGTGCATTGAGGGGTGGGCTTCAGGGAAGCAGGATTTAAAAGCTGAAAGCAAAAGAAAACAAATCACCTAAGAAAAGGAAAATTAAAGTGTCAAGATTTATTTTAACTTTTTCTTTCACAGAAAATACAGTTAAGTATGGCATGTAAACACTGACACAAGAAATAAAGTACAAGATCAGGAAGACAAATGAATTGGATAATACTCTTGCTTCCACGCTGTACTGCTTCCTGATTTCATTTGCAGCATAAATCACATGATTAAATAGATTGAAAAAATTAAAGGCAACATTCAGATTTACAAATACACCAGAGAGCCTCTAAAATCCAACAATGCCATATGGAATTTTGATCTTTCTGTTGCAAAAAAATTAAAGCTAAGTTCCATGTCCATTTATCTGCTTTAGTCAAGGCATTTAATGTAGGGGTATAAGAATGGATTAACACATGAGATTTACTATGTCTGTGGGAGTCAAATTTAATTATGCCTCTTTTCTCTCATTAGAGGAACTAAAATTAACCAAATTAAGAGCAGGGCTGCCTGGTATGGCCATGTGAGTATACAATCACAGTGAATTCTTATTTCTATAAATCTCAGGAAATGCAAAATACAAGAAAGGATTGTTTACCCCAGATCTCATGCTGCAGAAATACATAGGGTGTTCAAAGTTTTTTCTCAGAAATTCAAACTAGAATGTATGACCTAAATAAATAGCTGGGATCAAGAATTACCTTGATTTGAATCAAAGAATCTGCTTCTAAACTTGAATTCAGAAATAAAAAGTATGGGTTACAATTTGCTTGATTATCCCAAAAGATTAAAATGACCTGTCTTCTTTTTTATCAGATGACACCTACCAGGTGTGAGGTAAGTTTTGGTTATAGGTGTCTACCACACAGACTGGTTCAGTAATGGCTGGTACTAAGTGTCACAAAATTCAGTTTCAGATGGCTGCCCGAGAGCTGGAGATGAGAGAATCCTAGATTTGCCACAATTAAAGGCTTACAATCAAGGTCTATTATGAATAATCTGTAGTCCTCATTCTTCAATATTTAATAATCTCTGGAGTAATAAGTATCTTAGATACTTTTTCTTTACCAGGATCAGAGGAGTTAACACAAGCTGAATTTTGACTCTTTGGAGGAGAAATGCTACTCTGACCAGATGAGGTAAAGCTAACATCCCTGTATTGCTAAGAGATGGACATTTTAAAACATACTTATAAAATATCACACACAAAAAAAACACCTTCACACAAAAAGCATTCATTTTGAATTCCTTACCTATAGCAGATGGCACAGTGCTTTGCAATTTGTTGTGCTCTCACTAAAGATACATAGAACAGAGAAAGCCAAAATAAGGTTTTCAAAGGGATAGGAGCTGATATTCCCAAGGAGGCCCTGCATCAATTCTGGACTTTTTTTTTTTTTTTTTTTTTTTTTTGGTGCTATAATTAAGTTCTCGCTTAAAAGGTCTTTTTAAACATTTTTTTTTTCCCCAAAAACAAGCAAGATGATAAAATCATAAGCATTCTAACACTTTTTTGTTTCTGTGCTGGGGATTGAACCCAGAACTTTGCCCATGCTAAGCATATGCTCTACAACAGAGCTACTGTACCACTTTCATTAGGAAAAAAAAAAGCACTCTCTGTTGACCTCCATCACTGAACTTTTCTACTTATAAGTAAGTAGGCAAAATGCTTCAATTACAGTTCTCTGTCCTGTGGGCAGATCATATATTCACTATTTGCTTTAGGAAACAGTAATCAAATATTGAGAATTAAAAGCCGGAGATTTTTCAAACAAGTGGGACTTCAGTCTATCTTTACTTTCTAGTTACTGTCTATACCTATTACCTTTCCAGTGCTTCAACTCCAGCTCAGATATTCCTTTAGCATGAATCTCCAGAGAGACTTTTTTTTATTATTATAACTCCCATTTTTCCTGTTATCACATCTTCTCCTTTCTTGGGTTCAGTTCCTGTGGGGAAGATCTTTTCTTGAAAAGTAAAAGATGGAAAACTAAAGATTCATTCTGTTTTCAGATACCAAAAACATTGACCTTTAAGGAAATAAGGCACCTATAATGTGGCCCCCAATGGACAATAGAAATAGTACTGATAGTTGGATCCTGTGTGACTGCAAAGGAACATGACTTCCAAAATAAGCAGTACTTTCTGGCCATGGGCCTGGCTATATCACAGAGCACTGCTTTGTTGGTTTATCTAACATTCAGGCAGATTGAAGGCTCCAAAGAACTCAAAGAAATATAAATAAAATTCTTTCTTAAAATAGAAAGTTACACTATCAATCAGGTCTCTGGTCAACCTCATCATCAGTATGTTTTCACAGTTGAGGAAGCATGGAAAAGCACTAGATGAGAAAAGTTAGGCAACATAGGTTCTAGCTAGCCCCTGCTCAACTACTTACTGACTGTGACCTCAGGCAAGTCACTTTACCTCCAATCCTTAGTCTTTTTCTTCATCTGTAAAATGGAGATAAATCACCTGCCTTGTTTACCTCACACTGATTGTGAGGATCAAATGAGATGTTGGGAAAGTGTCTTGTCAACTGTGAAATACAATGTAAAGGTAAAGTAATAGTATACACTTACTACATTTTAATTGGGTCCTTATCATTGCCTATTTGCCTAGAAGTGCCCCATGCAGGATGTGCTTATAATAGAGCTGAAAAATAGGTGCTATAATTATATACTAGTCCTTTTCACTAGGTTGTTACAAAAAAAAAAAAACAATTTTTTTCAGAAATGGCCTTAGAATACATTACTTAAAAACATGATGTCATCCAAATCTACCAACTGATAGAACCAAATTTCGTCAATGATGCCCTACTCAGTTATATTTTAGTCTGTTGATACCTTTATACAGAGAAGTTTAGAATTATACAGCATGCTAAAACTTAAAATAACAATAACAACAAAAAACTAACCATACAGTGAAAGTTAGTTATAAAGGAAATAAAATGAAAATTAGAGGCATCAAATATAATAAAATCGGGTCACAGTTCCTCAAATGGTCGCCTTTTTCCTGAGATAGCTCCAGGACAGGGTACTAGTCCTGTGAAGTGCTTGATAGAAGCTTTGTCTTGCTGGAGATGACAAGTAGGCTATGCTCAATTTCAGCATTAGGATTTGAACAAGGTCTGCTAGGAGCTGCCAACAGCTTTGGTGGAGGAGCCCACATGGCCTAAGAGAGCCTTGCTAGTTCTCAGATGCCAGGCCAGAGTGTGGAGAACAGCTTAACACAGGCATCCAGTCCAGGGACTTTCAATTCTTCCTGTGAGATGATTCTGCTCTTCTCCGGTCTAGTGAATAATTTAATAGAAGAAAGACAATGAGATATGGAGCAATATATCTCTCCCTGCTTCAGGGCCTTTCTCTATTTGCAAGAAGTTTACATGCAGAACAGAGACAGACTAGAAGCAAATGCAACTATGACTAGCCCAAAACACCCAGATTCCAGTATTCATGTCAGACGACTTTTATTACAAATATTACAGGCAATGACTTGGAGGGAGTCGGGTCAGAGGAATCACTAATTAACAAGATGGTTGTCCTTTGGGACCATGGGTGTGTAGCTAACCTCCACTTTTCTTCCTGGTTTGCTTTGTCTTCCGGGGTTTAAGGATAGTGTAGTTTGCATACACTGTATACTGATCTGAAAGGTAGGGGACATAGAATGCCCGAAGCAGCTTTGAAGATCTGAAAAAAAAGGAAAAAATTTATCACTTGGGAGAATTTACTAATGATACTTAAAGGAAACTCTATGGTAAGGATTATTTTTATGTTTTTATTTGTGCACTATAGTTATACAACAATAGTGAGGTTCATTTTGACATATCCATAAATGCATATAAGAAAGTTTGCTCCATTTCAATCCCCAGTGCTACGTCTTTCCCTCCCTTCCTCCTTCCCACTGATCTCCTTCCTCTACTTTACTGGTCTTCTTTCTATTTATTTACTTATTTTTAATTGGTATATTTTAATTGGTATAGAATGCACTGTAATATGTTCATACATGGACACAGAATAATTGGGTCAACTACATTCCCCAGTTCTTCCCCTGTGAGGATTACATCTTATACAAACAGCTCATAAAACAAAAAAGCCTGTTCATGATAAAATACTTAAGAACAAGTACCTTGTTACTCATGACAAACAGTCTCCCTAATAAATCACAGTATGCCCTTCAAAATAGCTCTCAAGTCTTCATTTTGCATAAACTGTGCCACAAAAGAGTTCTAGGTCAATCAAAGGGCTGCTATTCCTGAAATGAATTCTTAACACCCAAATAGTTACTACATCTAAGAAAATGTAGTGATGCCCAATACTGTAATGATTCTGACTCCAGATCTGAATTTTTCTAGATAGGTAAAGAAATCTGTTTCCTGAGAGTCTACACATGTCTCTGGAAAATTGTATCTACTTATCACTGAAATATGAAAACTAAAAACCTGAATTTCTCAAGAGTTTCTTAAGAAAGTAATAAGTGCAGAAAATTTGCTTTTAAATGTGTAATTCAATCAATCTGCTAATCCTATGAGCAAAGTGACATTATTAGCCCTCTTTTTTAAATATTTATTTTCTAGTTGTAACTGGACACAATATTTTTATTTTATTTATTTATTTTTATGTGGTGCTGAGGATTGAACCCAGGGCCTCACATGTGCTAGGCGAGCACTCTACTGCTGAGCCACAATCCCAGCCCCTCTTTTATAGATGGGAAACTGAGGTTCAAACTTGCTCCAAGTCACACAGGTTAAGTAAGTTGTTCAGGATCATCCAGTAAATAATGGAGATTCATTCACATCCAGGCTTGATTCTAGAGTCTGCATGCTTAACAATTATAGTTTATCCTATATCCCAGGAATAGGCAAAAAGAATCTATCCTTTCCTAGAAAAAAGTTGTAGTGACAGCTTCAAATTCTTTTTTTTTTTTTTTTTTTACTTTTTAAAAATTTACATATGACAGCAGAATGTGTTACAATTCTTATTACACATATAGAGCACAATTTTTTATCTCTGGTTGTATACAAAGTATATTCACACCAATTAGTGTCTTCATACATGTACTTTGGATAATAATGATCATTTATAACCCCATGCCCCCTTCCTCCCCCTCCAACCCCTCTGCCCTATCTAGAGTTCATCTATTCCTCCCATGCTCCCTCTCCCTATTCCACTATGAATCAGCCTCCTTATATCAAAGAAAACATTCAGCATTTGGTTTTTTGGGATTGGTTAACTTCACTTAGCATTATCTTCTCTAACTCCATCCATTTACCTGCAAATGCCATGATTTTATTTTCTTTTATTGAAACAGCTTCAAATTCTATATGAAGCTTTACTTCCTGACTGATTTCTGAGTCTGAAAATCTAAAGTTGGCCCACCTACTGCCATCCTAAATGAGATTGCTCAGGGGTGTTCCACTGCCAGTCTTTTTCCAAATTCTAAACTTGTAAATGTCATGTCAACGTGGCATTTGTACTGGCAGCCTACCTCTAGGTTTGGCAGACTCCTGCAATGCCTGCACACAATGATATCGTGTGCTTGGCAAACACACCTCTTAGCAATACTTCCCAACTGGGATGCTGGCAGTGCCCTGTGCTCAGAGATGCACTTCACTTCAGCAACTAACAGCTCAAGGGCTTTGATAGAGAAAAGAGGCTTAGAGGAGGGACACACAAGATAATGCAGGGCCGCTGAAAACAGAATGAACAGGAAGAGGAAGCACCTGCCTCAGACAAAAGGAAGTTAGTTTACTCTTTTTGTTCAGGATGCACAGATAAGGTGATGATCAGAACATAAAGATGCAAGCTGGAGCAAACTCCTGCAAACCTAGGAGTTATTTCCATTCCAGATGTCACCACACACACACACACACACACAAAAAAAAAAAAAAAAAAAAAAGCTTCATCAATATATTCATTATGTATTTTTGATCAACTCAGCCCTTGGTATGACATCAGAGTTCACTGGACCCAAGTGCAGTTTTATACTTTCTTTTTTGGAGAAGTTCCTTGCTATTGGGGACGAGTTCTATTTACAATTTTATTCTTTTTAAGAATCTTCCAAAAAACAAAGAAAATATGACAGCTAATGAGTAGTTAGTTACATTCAGGGACAATGTTCATTTCAGTGGTATATGTGTGTTTACAATTACAAGAATATGGAAAAAGTTGTTATATTTAAGTTATTATTACATTTTCAAATGAAAAAAAAATTGTTATCCTTTTATTTTTACTTTTGTAAGTTACATATAAAATAGCTTAAAAGTATAAAAACAGTCCACTGGACTGAGACAGTAGATGGTGATGACTATTTTCCTGGTATGCTGACAGACTGTGCCAGGGAGTTCCAAAGATATTTTGGAAAACTATCTTGGGCTGCACATAGGACATACCATCATCAAAAATGCTGACTGGGCTAAAATGGAAGAAAAACTCCTATGCATTATTTTTTAGTACAAATGTTCAACTGAAAAAAGATAAAAGCAGAGATTAGGGAAAATATTTGCAGTACATAGAATGGAGGATTAATATCTACAACATATAAAACGTTCCCGCAATAAATAAGAAGACAAGAAACTCGGGGAAAATGATAAGGGATATAAATAGAAGATAAATGCAAATGACCAATAAATACCTAAAATGATGCTGCATCTTCCTAGTAGTCACAGAAATGCAAACCTAGATATAATGTTCAATAATCAGGCTTGCAAAAGTTAAAAAATCTGATCAATATCAAATACTGGTGAAGAATTAGGAAACAGACATTACCAGTGAAAATGTAAATCCACACAGCCACTTAAAAAGGCAATTCTAGCAATATCAATTAAAACAAAAATTATCGAGGCTGGGGTTATGGCTCAGCAGTAGAGCGCTCACTTAGCACATGTGGGGCACTGGATTTGATCCTTAGCATCACATAAAAATAAAAAATAAAGGTATTGTGTCCAACTACAACTAAAACAAAATATTTTTTAAAAATTATGCACTCCCTTTGATATAGTAGTTTTAGTTTTTACTTTATACCATCTCATTTATTTTTTTAATTTTTTTCAAGTATTTTTTTAAAATCTGTCAGTGAACCTTTTATTTTTTATTCTATATGGTGCTGAGAATCGAACCCAGGGCCTCACACATGCTAGACAAGTGCTCTATCTCTGAGCCACAACCCCAGCCCCCCATCTCATTTATTTATTTTCTTGTTTCACAAATAACTTGGTTTTCCATTTGTAACAGAAAAATTCAAACATATATAAGAATAGGTAACAAACAGGCATGGTAATGCACACTGTAATCCCAGCAACTTGGGAGACTGAGGCAGAGGGATCTGAAGTTCGAGGCCAGCCTTGTTAGCTGTGTGAGACCCTGTCTCAAAAAATAAAAAGAGCTGTGGATAGAGCTTCATGATAAAGTGTCCCTGGGTACAAATATATATATACTTATTATTGTACAATTAGTAGAAAAAAATTTCAAAAAAGTTAACCTCAAATTCTTTAGAAAAAAAAAACCTAAGAAAACCTATGTGCCTACTATGTGTAAGGTTTTGTATACTGGCCAGGTAGATCTAAAAGTCTATTCTCTAAGGGCTAACAATCTACTTGGAAGAAAAAGAATACAGATGACATGTAACTATAATTTAGCATATTCTAAATACTAAATCACTGATACACAAATTCAAAATGATAATATTGTGATCGAACTGTGAAGGCTGCAAAAAAGCATATAACCTACATCATTTAATTTTATCCACTCAACGTTCCAAGGTACAAAGTGAAAAAAGCAACTTCTCCAATCATAACCAAATTCATGGGGATCTGAGGTTAAATGCTCTGTCCACTCAACAGTAATTAGAGACAAACTAAATAAATTCCAAATTCTTTCTCATGGACTACAATGCCATAGGGGATGTAGCTCCTTATGGCTTACTGGTCCCACCCCACCTTGTCATTTTCCTCTTTCCCCTCTATGCTCCTACCTCACCAACCTCCTTTCAATTCTCAAAAAACACAAGTACCTGCTGGGCATACTAGCATACACCTGCAACCCCAGAGCCCCAGGAGGCTAAGGCAGGAGAATTATAAATTCAAGGCCAACCTAAGAAAGACTCCATGTCAAAATAAAAAATAAAAAAGGGCTGGGGATATAGTTTAGGAAGAATACCCTGGGTTCAATCCTCAGTACCACAAAACAACAACAAAAATAAATAAATAGCCAGGCACAGTGGTGCACGCTTGTAATCCCAGTGGCTCAGGGGGTTGAGGCAGGAGGATCAAGAGTTCAATGCCAGCAGGTAAACTAGAGGCGCTAAGCAACTCAGTGAGACCCTGTCACTAATAAAATACAAAACAGGGTTAGGGATATGGCTCAGTGGTTGAGTGCTCCTGAGTTCAATCCCTGGTACCTCCCTAAAATAAATATCCACCACATTCCTTCACATCCTAGGGCCTTTGAATATGCTGTTTCCTCAGACTAGAACACCCTTCCATCTGTTTTTCTAATGTCTGAGTCCACCTCATTTTTCATGTCTCAGCTTAAAAGTTACCTACTTTGAGAGGATGTCTAACCATCCTATAAAATACTAGGTTTCCACTACTTTTACTTATTCTGTCTCAGTGTGCCTTGCAAATTCTTTCATTGAATTCTTCACGATCTGTAATTATTTGTTGGTTAACTTGTTTTTTGTCTTTCCTTCC